TAACGATAGAGCAGTTTGGTTACGTGTTGCAATACAATAAAACGGAGACGGTCATCAGCGAGTTGTGAGGCTGTTTCGTGAGGACACCAATACTGTGAACGCTGCTCTTCCGAAGCTTGACGGTCACCGTTCGCGGCTCTCTTTTTAGAGCACTGATGGCCAGGCAAAGCGCAAACATATCTTCATCCCCCTCCAAAAATATTCTGCCACGAACAGTGACGTGGCCGGTGCCTAAAACGAGCACGCTCGCCACAAAGCTTCGCAATTTGAGGTTTCTGCAACTTTTAAGTATCAGCATGCTCGTTTTCCTAACGTGCATCAGCATCTCCGTTACCTGTTATATGATCCCTTCCTAACCGCTTCGCATTTGTAGACAAATAAATTCTTTTTAGCGCGCTGAACAGCGCCAGCAAGCAGGCGCACGGGGATATCCTGGAGAATCTATCCCCGTCTCGTCCGCCATCTTGGAACCACCGCGCCGCCACCTATAGGGCGTTTGAGTTGCGAATAGTGAGCGTCGGAGATGCGTGCCGGTGTACCAGTTGCTGAGCCTGTCTAGTGTGCTGGCTTCACTGAGCGACAAAAATTACTCGTGCTTGTACGAGGAAGCTAGGGTGTTATGAGCGCTGGTAACCTCTTCATCCTGCAAACAAAAACGGTGTTCAGCGCAATATTTACACAAGGAGGCACGTTTCAATTCTGGGACAAAACCGAAACTAACCTCTATTTTCGATTTAATATTTCGATTTATGCGTTAATATTGGATTATTTTTTTTAAATCAAGCGTAATTATCAAGGTGAAGAAGTTACGCAAACTTGAAAGAACAAAACATCGAGGACGAGGACGGAAAGGGGATTCTGTATATATGATGATTTAAACCTGAGACTGTGGTTCTAAAAATGGAAACTCGTGAAGTAGGAAGAAAAAGTGACAGACAACGTCTCAATCTCAGTCTCAGCTAGGTTTCAATCAAAACCGTCTCAGGCTTCAATCATCATGTATAACTTACACCAGCTCGCCTGCACTTTAACCGTTTTTTTCAGGACTTCTTTCATTGAGCAACAGAACGTAGAATGGCACAAACCATAAAACCGCCCCCCCCCCCCCCCCCCCCCAAAGGTTTCATCGTTCTCGAAAAGGAAAGGAGAAAATTGTTGAAAGGAGATAGAATTTACTATAAATATAAAAGTATAAAAAGCGCTGGCGTCACGACGACATATAAATAATCTACTTCTCTGGTGCTATCAAAATCGCGACTTTTGACAATCACCAAAACTTCCAAAGTCGCCGCCAACCCTGCCAAACCAAGCCCGCCCCCCATAAAAAAAAAAAATTTCCTTTTTTTTTTTTTTTAATTGCCATTTTTTACAGATTTTTTTTTTAAATTGAATTTTTACACTTTGCCGACTTGCTGATTTCAGCCTTTCCAGTTCGAAGGAACGCCTACCCGCTTGCACGTCTGCTCACTGCAGCACGTTTCGTTGGCGTTGGAAGCCGGTGAAACAGTAGTGAGTTTTGATATGGGCGTATGCGAGCGAACGCTAGCACTCTGCGTTTCTGTCAGTGTTGCGTATTCCACACTGCGCGCGCGCGGAGTCCAAAAATTGCGGTCTTTAATTGGAACATGACAACGACTCGCATGCGCAGCGTGGAGCACGGAATTCTAAAGGTCGGTTGAGACACCTGCGCTTGACTGCGTTGGAGTGCGTTACGACTACTTGCAACGAGCTGTTGCTATGGCGACCTTCTCGACGAGCCAAGAGGGAGGCGCCGTGCCGCACGACGCAACGCAGCGCAACGCAGTCGACGCAACTGTCTGAACGAGCCCTAACGCAAAGCGTACAACGGTTGCGTTCGCTTCTATACCCAACACTAAAGCTTTCTAGTAAGGTATAATACCAAACCGGCTGCAGCACTACATTGGGACTGTGAAGTGTATTCTTCGCATTCGGAAATTACATTTGGCGAGCCATGATCGCGAGCAGTTCCGCCGTGCCCGCTGAACAGGAGAACCGGGGGACCCTCACTAGAGCGCTTCCCGTTTCCGCCACAGGAGGGCGAGCAACGAGCTGGAGACACGAATAGCGCGGAACGGCTGCCCAGAGGGCGCACGGGAGCAATACTAATGGCGCCGCGCTCTGGAGCAAAACCGCCCTCCATAGCAGTACGGGTCCAGATGCGATGGCGACGAACACATTAAATATATACTGAGGCAGCGTTGCAATATTATTGCAGCATTTTGCCTATTGGAAAACGGTGAATATTTGTTTAGGAACGCGAACTTGCGCAAAAAAAAAAGGTTGCCTGTGCGCCAGGTCTCCGAGGTGGGGAGATAATGTTGACATAAAAATATTTGTCGAGAGCAATGTGCGTCTCGCAAATGCGTCGCCTATGACATTCGCCTCGAGATAAAGGCTGTTTTACAGCGGAGCTGTTGAAGGCTTGTTTCCCACGTTTCCGTGTCCGTGGACGAACAAATCTCGACACAACGCTCTGGACAGCTACCGCCATCTATGAGCGACGGCGGCAACCAGATAACCACCTTGCCGGTTGCCTGGTTGCCGCCGTCGCTCATAGGTGGCGGCACATAGCATAGCTCCGCTGCTCTTCCTTCTTCACCAGAATGGAAAGGCTGAAAGTTGTTTTCTTTATGGTTTTGCTCGCTCTTGAAAATCAGAGCTATTCGGACAAAGTTGAGGACGCTATATTGTTAAAATTGCCTTATCCTGCACAGCTGTGTTGTCGCATACACTGCTGGAACTCGGGCAAGTGCTCTTAAAAAGTCGGAGTTACCGACTACAGGAAGCATGCCGCGGCTGTTTTAGTTCTGGCTCATCAAGCCAATGACGAGGCAGGCACTGTTAGACCGTAAACTAAGCTGTATAAAAAAAAAAAAAAATCTAAGCGGGATGCGAATAGGTCCACAGCTCGTCCGTTATGTTCTGAGGCATGTTGAGCGGGTTGAACAACAAAATTGAAAACTTTTAGTACATGCTGCGACACTCGCGTACCTGTACCGCGGCCGTCAAAGCGGTAAAATCACAATTCACGCACGTGCGTCAGTAACACTATGATATGTTTACGAGTAAAAAAAAGTGATCGCCAATTGACTCACATTTGCGCCAGTATTGTTGTATCTTTTTTTTATCATTCTTATGGGACGCCAGAATGATAATTTTAAACACAGCTTTGGGTGACTACAGATTGGTTTGTTCTGTTTGCTCTTTAAAGCCCAGTCATACTTTACATATCTAAAACACCTTGCGCCAGAAAAAGATCTTGAATATTACTTTCTTACCTCAGAAAAAAATTGTAATTAAGCTTACATTTAAGTCATCGATTTTCAGATATTTACCCTTGTGAGGTGTCCCGTCCTGGTCCCCATACACGCTTCTTTCAGTTTACTCAATTAGCATTGCCAACACGCTCTAATTAATCGACCGAGGAATGTTCTAGTGTCTAACTATTAGAGTCCTTTGGAAAGTAATTTTGTTGTGGGCTAACTCCTAATAATAAACAGAAACACTAAAGTACAGCCGCCAATTTCTTTTCCATTATGCGTTCAAATTAGAACGCAATAGGGGCTACGATTATCTGCATCGTTTTACCTCATGTCGTTTGCTGCTTACTCGCTTTCTCTTGCAAGCCACGGCGAACCATCGTAGCTACTACATTAGGGACTTATCGTAGAACGCCAACTTCAGATTACAGGCCCTGCGGGTACGACCTCAGTCCGCCCTCAAAGTGACGGCTCGCCCAGCAACGCAAAACGCTTGCGTGCTCTTGCGTGTCGCCTATGAAGAGTCCCTACTAACGTGTGAACTAAGCGTTGCTGCACTACTGAATCACGCGACAAAATAGACAAACAATGATTAAGACTGTCTTCCGCACAGCTGGCGATTCATACTTCTGGCGATCTTCCTTGCAGGAATCGAATAAAACTTCTCAGAAGACACATGTTTATTTACCTTTTTGCTTAATACGATGCCGTGGCATTTGAGTACACAACTGCAATACCTGGTTCTCTGCCATTTTGCATTCAGTACATTACTTATCGAAGAACGAGACCAGCACTACAGGCGCTCCAGCCACCCGCGTTGTCTTCTCCTTGTACTGCTACCAAGTACGGCCGCGCCTCGCCAGGGGGAAGCGTGGCGCTGCGTATGGGCGGCGAAACTTCAGCCGCACAGCTTTATACGGCATGCGCAGTGTCGTCGGAGAGTCATTCGTATACTAACATTCACTCTGAAACGCAACCACATCTGTTTATTTGCCTGTTGAAGCTTCTCTTGCTTTATACGCCAAGTTGAAGGGCTTTGATTCTCTCACTCTAGTTCACGTGCCGCAAATTGTAACGATTAGGTTAAACCGTTCCCGAGTTCCCGCGCAATATCTGCTCGCATGTGCATTGGAGTTGGTGGATCGTTCGGGAACGAGCCGTTCGCGCCAAAACGACTCATTAAAACACCCTAATAACTGCGCAGACGAAGCAATGTCACCGGTTTACACTGGCTGCAGCTATCGAGTCGCAAAAACAAGTCCTGCGAGGAGATAGCAATGTACGGACAGGAAGTCGCTATAACTCGTCTCACCTTGCAGTGGACTAAATTCAAAGCTAGAGGGCATTATATCTCATCACAAACCGGTACGGTACCATGCAAAGTACTCTTCCGAAGAGCAGATCATTGCGCCGTTCTGACACGCGTCGGAAAATATACAATATGGTATCAACAACTCTACCAACAGGCTTATGATTAGGCCTGGTGTAAGCAACATTGGTTGTCGCCATTACTTGGGCACAAAGAGTGTGATTGGACCCGAGTCATCACCGAACGCTGGCGTAATCATCGTCTCTAATACATCCTCATAGTAAGTGCCCAATCAATGGCGTATTAGGACGATTGGGGCAGCAACTACTAGACGAAGCGCCCTTTTGAAAATGTTCTATTATAAGGCGTGATTCTCGGAAAGCATGTTGCAAGGCCAAGCTATCTCAGACCTGTGTGAATGGGGTATAGACCCGACATCAGAGCCCCTCTGGAGGGAGTGCAGAGGTGCAGCACGTAGTAGTTGTTGAGGATGATGCCCTGGGAGGCGAGGACGTCCAGGTTCGGAGTCGGTATCTGCGGATCTCCGCGAAAGCTGACGTCTGCCCAGCCCTGTAGTAGAATAGGGACCTCGCGTCAGGGCAATTGCAAAGACCCAACACGATGACTATACAGTCGAGCCTGTAACAATAAAACTTCTTTACGACTGGATAACGGACAACGCACGATATTTGTGAGTAGCAGCTGTGAAGGCACCTTTGCTTCTATAAGGCAGCCTTTGGTGTAAGCTTTGGTGTTTTGTGGCGGTGCAGTTAGAGACCGTTTTCTGCCACCTGCCGTTCTGTGACTGCGCTCTTTCTTCAGCGAAAGCGTGGCATTCCGTGCGTTGATAATATGCGCGTATAACGTGAAGAAACAAACAACCTAGTTCAGGGAAATGTTCGAGCCTCGGTGACACAGCTAATAAACCATACAAAAGACAGTCCGGATACATATTTTGAAGCATACGTACGTATAAATGAAACATGATTCGAACAAGCTTGAGTCGTCCTCGCTGACACTCCTGGCATCATGTCCTGGCAGGGAGCACCCTGTCTTTCAAGCGATATATACGACCGGTGTGAGTGTGGCTTTAGAGCATCGGCATTCCGGACCTTTGGGTTCTTTCCTTGGGGGCCGCCGATTTGCTGCTTAGTGCAAAGCCGGAGCACCATTGAAAGACTGTTGCGACTCGAAAATGCCGTTTTCGCTGAGGCTTGTGTACGGGGTGTAAGGAACTTTGTGTAAATGTTGCTTTTGATATGTCGCGGACTGGTTTTAACGTTTCTAAACGACGGAAAAGCTTCTCCTGCGATTTCAGGTAGAGCTTGGGATAACTGTCATCGATGATTTTAAACACAGAGACGCCTGAATTGTCGTTATATGGAACCGTACCTTTTTAGTTAGTGAATCGACCGAACAATGTGTTGTTTTCTTCTGTGTGCGGTGGCTATAGTGTGATATGCTTGTTATATTTAAGTCCCCGATACACTAACATCATCTTTCTTCTGTGTGACTCCCCTTCCAGCCTAACTCGGGCTAAGAGGGGGTCACAGGGAAAGAGGCGTGGAGTATGGCAGGGCCGGCGTTAAACAACGCGAAGCCTTGGGCCAAAAAACAAAACAAAAACACAAGAAAAAAAAAATGTGGCGAAATGTTTTAAATTACTTAAGTATCCACAAGATAATTTAAATTGTAGATCCCATTGTTAGATATGTGTGCACATTGGGTTGTGTTCAAATGTAAAAACTACAAATATATATATATATATATATATATATATATATATATATATATAAAATCTTAAAGGAAATTTGGGATAACGACTGTTTCCCGCTCAGGCAGTGCCCCTGAATTACAGTGTATATTTTATTTTGCACATCGCATGTAGTTTTATAAATCTCACGGCTCAAAGTTTGGTTTCGGGCGTTTATGGCAAAACCGAAACTATCTGCTAGACGAATGGCGACACTAATAATCACCTGTATGGGCGCGACGTGACGTCATCGTGGTGCTGCGGTACGTGTCGCCCAGTGTTTCTTGACTAAAAGCTAGCCCGCTAGCCACCCGCTACAAACCATCTGGTTGCACCTTTAAAATCAGTTTTAGTGTAGTACGCGGCTTCACTTTGACGTAATATTTCGGCTGTGATCATATTTCACGCCGCTAATTTGTTTATTTATTTATTTTGGTTTTGTTTTCGACCGGACTTACCCTTGTAATGTGGCAAGAACATGCTGTGAATTTTCACACGAAAGAAGAATCCAAATCAGCAAATTGCCTGGAGTAAAGTACAAAAACTGATGCGACGTGTACATATATACACCTTTCCAAGAAACACTCGACCCCAGGGGCAGCAAACCGTTTTCGAGTGCAGTCACTGGGTTTGAGGCTAGACTCTCACCGGCGTCCCAGCTAACTCTAACCGAGTGGACTGCGATTTCGATAGGCGCAGCCTGCGTAGGCGCAGTTTCAAACACTGCTGGCGACTACATTTTCGTCTTTTCCCGCTGTATTTTGTGTTTCATGGTGCATGTATTTTCCCGGGGTCACTGAGAAAGCATTGTACCCCAATTAAAAAAAAAAGCAATAAAAAACCTATAAACTATCTTTGTTGGGTACGCGCGCAACAGAACAAATGCACGACTCGAATGTATAGTTCTAATTCTTTGTGTTTTCTTTTTTTTAGTATAGGTTTTTACGGCACCGCGCGATTCGTCGCATGTCATATGACAAAGCGATTAGCTGTCAAAAATAAATTGCAACAGAAGAGAGCCGAAAGGCATGCATTTTTCACGCTCTCAAATAACCTGTTTACCGATGGACAGGACACGGACATAAAATTTAGAAAGTGTTAATATTCGAACAATATATTGTACCTGCCACACGATGCAGCGTTATCTGAAAGGAATTTATTTGAGAAAGATCTCAAATAACACAGTCACAGTCGGCGACAGTCACATCTTGACGATCGGACGGAATCCTAGATGACTTCGTTTTGGGGCACGTTTTGGAAGAGCTTCCTTTTTTTACAACAGCAACAAGGCAAAGGAACGAACGCGACTGACCCGTTTCCTACCTCAACCCGAACAACTATTTTTGGAGATGACTGAGGATTCTACACGGATTACCTCTGGGAGGGGCGAGAAAAATGTTCGCAAAATCGTGTCGAGGGTCGTTCGACGTCCTTCTCCTCTTTCCTTTCGCGTGAATGTCGAGCAGAAAAGCTGAATGGCATGCACTTACCAGCCTTATTTCTCACAATGGAAGATAACACAAAAAATACGCAGCACGTATAAAAAAAAAATGAAGTGGAATCTTTCAAGAGGGCCGAGCAAACGTCGAATGCAAAACCGCAAAAACGTAGGTAGAGGTCCGCGCTGAGCGGGCCTTCACAGTCCAAGAGTGTGGCAGAAAATCTCTAGCTGATAGAGGTCGCGAGAGTCGCACCAGCCGCATCAGCTTCAGCAACATGGCGGCGGCCTAGGAGCGTTTTCTGAAAAGGTGTATAAAGGGATGATAGTAGCGTACACCACAAGGACGGTGCACTCTGAACATCTGCTTCTCAGAGGGGAAGGGGACGCGCTTATACTTCTCCTAACGGCGCGCAAAAAGCTTATCGAAAATGTCTATGGAGGAAGATTGGCGATTGAAAAGGCCAAAATAGCTTGAGCCTGCATGCACTGCAACTACGACACAATGACGTGACACCCGTTGCTCAAAAATGCCGTGCAAATTTCATTTTTCTTCCAAGCAATTTGATGTCAATTCTGGTACGAACCAGGCGTGTCTTCTAGGAATAGACGAGTAGGACCTAAGTTGTAGGCTGTGGACGCCCCATTTTAAAACGCAACCTTTCGCGATTTTCTGGCGCTAAACATCTTGAACAATATCAGGTAATTTTATATGCCATCCTGTGAAAACAACAACCTTCTTCTGTGTTTGTTTTCATTAAAAAGAAGCGTGCTCATTTGAGGCAATTGTTTGACTCGAGCAAATCGCTGTCTAGTTCGTGTGCTTTGCAATATTTTGAGGATTTACCAAAAGAGCCAACTTTATGTATGCACTTCGCGTAAAAGGCTGCGTTTAAGCATAAAACATAAATAGATACAAATCGATTTCCTTCTCCGGCACACCTCTATTAAAAGTGTTCATTACCGGTTTCTAAAGAACTAAAAATCGCGTTACTACCTGGTCGGGACAGCCTGTCTAGAAACATGTTCCATGAAACGAAACGAGAAAAACTACTACCTCACGTGCGACGCTACTTCTCTACCCCACTTCCCCCCTCCTTTCCAAGCTGACAAACGGTAGAAGCTATCGTGCTCTTTGATCCGGTCAATGTTTGGTGCTGCCCCACGTGATCACATTTTCTGATCCCCCCCCCCCCCCCCCCCCCCCCCATACACACGCACACAAAGGTCGGGGACAGTGGGGTCAGGAAAGAAAAGGTGGCGACTGTTATATTTATGCTTATTTAGTTATGTTTTGTTACGAAACCAACCGAAATGGAGACAGGGACTAAAGGCCTGAAACCTGACGAGGTCTTTCTCCCCAATGCATCGCTTTCCAGCAGCACAGAGTTTACAGAGGTCACGTAGCATATTGATAAACAAACTAATCATACTTAGAATATACCAGAAAAACAAGTAGTTGATAAGGCGAAAGCCTTACATGTCTCGTTACAAGAAAAGGCGGCGGCGTTGTCCACGAAAGATGGCCATAAAATACGTCATCAAGCAAGCGCCGCTCAATGTCAAAGCGGACGCGCCTCCAGACATAGAACGCAATAAAACACCGCCGGAGCGCAGCGCAGATGCTTCGTCATGGCAGTCTCCGCGCATGCGCAGTGGGGGAGCGTGACGTTACCGTCGGAACGCCGTGTGCAGGAGGAAGACGTGGCGCGCTACTTGTAGAAATGCGCTGCATGTAGGAATGCTTTCGCATTCCTACATATAAGCAGTCTTACGTATCTCCGGCATGCTTTTTTTATATACAGGTTCAGAGAATAACGGAATGCCGCTGCCCAACATGAGTGTCCTGAGCACCCTTTTAAACTTAGTAGAAGTGTTATTAAAATCTACGAGGTCTTTAATGTTATTCAAAGCTTTACTGACTTGACGTTCTATTGTTTGCGTTTCATAATTTGTACGGGTCTGAGAGGGCCGCTTATGTGCGTGTCGAAGAGGGTATGCATGCGTTACTTTCCGTACATCCGTCACGTGTAGCTTTTGTCTGCGAATCAGTTGTAACAACTTAAAATCATAAATTTGACTGGCCTTGAGTATGGCATATTTTTTAAAAAAGTGGCGTGGTATGAAGGTCTTGTAATTTACCTTTATAATTTTTAAGTATGCGCAACATTATTTTTTCTACAGTGTGAGCAGCGAATTATACATGGGTTGCTCGTGATGTCGGTCAAAGACCGCTCCGATGACTACCAGAGACGAGGGGAAAAAGGAGCTCCCTTCTTATCAGGGTCCTCTTTTGTGCCTCCCGGATTTGGACAGACGTCGCTATTCTCCTTCCAGAAGATTATAGAAGATTAACCCGCCACTCAAAATTCTTACAAAAGCAGCTTCCCTCTCCTCCTCTTACATGGTGGTCAAAAGTGTGCGATGTGACGTCAGTGAAACCCATGTCGATGTCGTGCCCCACACTAAGAGACAATGACAGAGCCTAGAGTAAAAGAAAAAATAATTTGTTTCTCTTTAGCAATGTTGGCATAAGGTTCCCTATATTATACAGGCATGCAACCAACCGTGAAAGCTGGTAACCTAATTTATGCACATGCTTGTTCCAATTGAGCTCTTGATTAAACCAAACTCCTCAAAATCTCTGTTCTTGGACTTGTTTTATAGTTTCATCTTTAAAATGTATAAGTATGTTGGTACTGTTGCATTTGTTTTTAGGTGGAAATAATATGTACTTTTTTTTTGTCTTTAATTTTAGCTTGCTTGCTCGAAGTCATGAAGCTAGGCGGGTAGATAGCTCTTTGTCATGAGTTCTAACTGGGCTTTGGAAGAGGCTGCGAAGAATATGTTGGTGTTATCCGGATGCATGATAAGGTCAGGAGATCCCGGAAGGGCTGTAATATCATTTATATAGAGGAGAAACAAAAGGAAACCCAAGATCGAACCTTGTGAGACCCTACATTTTATTTGCAAGATACTTGTGACAATGTTTTTCATTTTAAAATATTTAAGTCGATTTTGAAGATATATTTTAAGAGAGCCAAAAGCCTTTACGTATTCAATATGTATCTAGTTTTCTTAGCAGTATGTCGTGTTATATAGTGTCAAATGCTTTACTTAAATCTAAAACAATTCCTAGAGTATACAGTTTGTCCTCAATATTGTATATTATCTAGTCTTTCGCCTCTACGAGTGTTGCAGACTCCCCGGAGTCTGCAAGATAATGGTCTATAGCAAGAAAAGAAAAAGGTTTTTCTTGCATTCTTTTTGACATTTGTCACAAAAAAACACATTTTTTTTCTGTTTTTAACGCGTCAGCGTTTAGCAGCGCGGGTCACAAAACATGCGGCGTCGGGGTCTGCGCCGGCGTCGGTGGGACAAAAAAATCCCATAATGCAACGCACGCGGCCACGTGTGACGTCACACGTGACAGTGACGTCATGACCCTGTCAACCCGCTAAATTTGGCGGGAATATTTTCCGTTCAATTTAGTGGAAATTTTTGGTCGCAAAGTTTAGCGGAAGCGTTTTCGCCTTATATAGTAAAAAAGATTCCCTCCAAGTTTAGCGAAAAATATTCCCGCCAAATCTAGCAAAAACTTTTCGCGGAAAACTTAGCAAAAATTTGCCCCGCCAAATTTGACAGGGCAAAATTCTAATAAAAACACGTGACGTCATGTGATGTCACGTGACACGTGATACTACCGACTAGATCACGCACACACGCTTGCACGGCTTAGGAACGAGCGCGGGTTCAATGAGAAGGCTTTACGGACGGGGCCCGACAACGCTATCGTGTTCCACTCTTAAAGGCGAAGCTTAAGCGTCCCCCAAGTTTCTTTGATTGCTTGATAGCTTGCCGGGATCCTCGCGACCGCGGGGCCCTGGTGGAAGTAAGGAGCCCAGCGCGGTTACCCCGGTCGCCCATGCCTAACCCCGTCCAGCAGACCAAACTGCTGAGTTTGGTCTGCTGGACGTATTGTAACAAACTAGTATTGCATTGGGAAATTTCTCGTAGAAGGATATTAAACCAAAGTATCGTTCTCCTGGTAACCCTACTGAAAAATCTCATTTATATGAGAAATTTCTTGTGTTCAATAAACACATATGAACCATACAAGATATATAAGAACGTATAAGAATCATATAAGAACCATATAAGAACTATATAAGAGCTAATAGGAAATATCAGAACATATAAGAACCATATAAGAAACTTGTGAGAAGTTTCTTATAAGTTGCTTATATGGTTCTTATATATCTTATTTAGTTCTTATATACTTCTTATATGACTCTTATACGTTTTTATATATCTTTTATGATTCATATGTGTTTATTGGACACGAGAAATTTCTCATACAAATGGATTTTTCAGTAGGGAAGGGGCCTGTTACCGTTTTCAGTACGCAAAAAAAACACACACTGAGTACCGCGGTAGAGGTGCAATAGATATATGAAAAAAACAAACAAAAAAACACCCATCACAACACAAAAAAAAAAGAATCAGCACAAAGTTGAGTCTAGGAGATGCAGTTAACTGATAAAAGTGAAAACCTGTTTTTTTTTATTTCTAATGCGCGCGCTTGTATTAAATCTACTTTTGACTGCTTTGCGTGTTATTTTGCAAATGCGTAAAGGAAAAAACCCGAGATGAAAAAAAGAAACGAATTACTGAAATGGTACAAACCAGATCATCTGCCAGGATGAAGATTATGTTTGGCGGGAGTTGACTAGACACCGAAAATCCGGCCGTTTGCAAAGCCAGAATAAGACACATCCTGCAGAGAAATGAACTAAAATTATTGCGATCCAAAAAGCTACAAGAAAACGTATACCTTCACCAAGATATCAAGCAGTTTCAACTCGTAACATTTTTGTTACACCTATTAGAAAAAAAGAAAAAAAAATCGTCTTGTGAAATATCTTCAATAAAGCCGGGAACACATTTGCGAAAAAACGAACCGAAAATCGGAAAGAAATCGGAGGCTGCGAAAATCGTAGCTTGCGATTTTCGGAACACGAGCCACATCAGGTGGAATGCGCGGCGCGGAAATCGCAATGCACTGCGGTTTTCGTGCTCCGACTTCAGGAGGCTGTTCGGTAGTGTGGCGAACTGGCGTCTCATATTTCGCGCCTCTTAAAAACTTCAGCCATTAAAACCTCGTTGAATGCCACGCGAGCCTTTGTGCCACCACCCTTTGATAGAGACAGAAGGGGTTTTCTACGAAGGTTGAGATGAGAACGCAGGGATGGCATACGATGTTGCCTGCGCTGCTTCCGAAGCTGCGTGAGCCGCCATGTTGCGAGCCAATCGTATCAATTCTTTCCGTCCCGTTCCGGGCTTTCGCTCACCGAGCTCCTCCGCTCTGAATTCGGAGGCGCCGTGCGAAAATATCTGGCGCTGCAGATCTTTCGAACCGCTCCCGATTTTCGGAAAAGGAGAGGAGAAGGGGAAGGAGCTTAGCTGCCGTGCGATTTTCGTTTGCGGGTTTCGCACGAAATTCGGCTTTTTTCGCAAATGTGTTCCCGGCTTAAGCCTATCATAAATTACATAAATTAGGTAGGGCACATACAATGAGTATATGAGTTCATGTGATATTGTACTCATATGTTTATTGGACCCGTTAATCTACCTTTATTATTCACACAATGATGGGAAACATAAATTTTTTGGAAGATTAATACATGTTAAGGTAAATGCTCTCCATCCCTACTCAATAAATATGCATGGTAAAAGCCGTTGAAATTTTTTATAGGTAACACTAAGGGGAAGATTTGAGCGGAGGGGCGGGGGGGGGGGAGGAGAGTTACTCCCCCCTCTCCCAATCAGCCACGTAAGGTTAACTTTCTTTAAAAGCAAAATTGAGGTGTTTCACCCAAAGTTTAGTTTTTTGTGGCATAGCGAATTTTGGTCCAATAAAATACATCTTGGCAACGTTTCCACCCTTACGTCCTACCTTAGCAAATTCAACCCCCTCCCCCAAACTTCACCCATAAATCCGCCGTTAATAACACTACACTAAACGGGCGGGCCGCCAGACAGGTGCGATTGACTACTCGTAACTTGCATCACACATTGTCAACTGCAATTTGGCTTAATCGCGGTTGAAGGCGGCCCTTTTATGTTATTTTCTACATGTAACCATTGCATGCAGAAAACACGGCAATTATGTTTAGGCAAGATGAATTGGGAAATTTAATGTCTCATAGTGAAATAGGGGAAGTCGTTGTTGCAAATGTCACTCGAAATGCACGTGTTGGATGTAACGTTGAAGAATTCGCAAGGACTAGCGAGCATAAACTATTTGTGACCTTTAAATAGAACATTATGTTTTATTTTTAAGGTATCACACGATAGTACATGTAATTTAGAAAATTACTTTGCCTATCGACGCCTTATAGAAATTTAAAAAAAATGATTACGGGCTCTTGTTGAGATAGTCCTTTCATTCGTGTAATGTGGACAGCTGAATATTCCTTTAAGAAACACGAAGATAATGAAGAGGACAAGACTTCGGTGACTAGCAACTGCAAAAATTTACACAAGCAAAATTTTGGAACTTTTTATACCAAGTTGCATACGATGAAAACGGGAGAAATCATCAAGATATCATCATACATTTTGCACATATAATGAATTCGTCAAGGTGAACAGGTGGTCAAGTGTGTCAAGTTTCACTGGGAAACATATTATTATATCTTATTAACCTTAACGAAACGTTATATTGGGTTTTCCCTAAAACCCAATATAACGTTTCGCTATCTGGATTATGAAACACGAAATCTAACTGGAATTGTTACTTGAGACCTGAAATCCCCGATTGCAAGGTTTGCAAGGAAAGATTTCTGAAAACCTGAAATCCAGGTAGAATCCAATAAGATTTCCAGTTTCATAATCTAGGTACCGAAAAGTTATATTGGGTTTTGGGGTAGAAAGAACGAGCGAAATATACGTCACAGAAGCAAATAAGCCTGGTAAAGTCAATATAACCATTCATATTGCCAGTTTAAAGCTTAAAGTTTTTTTCCTTCGGCACGTAATACTAACAGTTGCTTAACTGTTATACTAAAAGAGAAGAGACATGAAATATCACGACTCTTCAAAAGTACTTACAACGTCGCATTCGTTTTTTGCTTCCCCATGTTTTGTCATTACCTTACGTCCCCGAAGAATTCACTTCGTGATATGAGTGGCAGTGTAGGTCAAACTTTCTTCTATATTCAATCAAGTTTTGCGCAAACAGGATGCTCTCTTAAAGAGTCAAAAGGTGCATGCCCTCGCCTTTTGTTCATTATACATTGCAGGCAGTAGAGTGCAGCTTTACCAGCCGTAGTACAGCAATTTTAAAGCACAGCTGTCAGCAGTGCACCTCACATCAACATCCGGTGCACGAATCTGTGATGAGCTCGGATCATCAGTCGCTTCCTTTACCGAAATCAACCGAATTTTGAAATTAAAAAAAATCTAAACATTTAAGATTAAAGTCTTAAATATAATGTTTGAAACCAGCATAAAGCCGGTCTATAAATGCAAGCGGTCCTTGCACAGTCCATCCAAGGCGCGTATTGACAGCCATGATTTATTGGTCTGTATTTCAGGTGACTTCTCCCTTGACAATTTTCCAAAGCTGGTTGGCTCCAATCAACAAGCTGATGCCTAGAGCCGAGTTGGTTCCTGCAAATAGGCACGAATCTGCGAGGCGTTTGCCTTGTTCTTGCAAAGACTGTATAAATCCAAGGTCTACTGGGAGCTTCTCGATGTCGTTGCAAATATGTGGTACCTCCACCGCTTCTAGGACGTACTCTGTCTGATGGCATTGACTCTTCAATTTCACTTCAACGATCTGTCTTTGTTGCTTTCGCGGCTGGGTTGATCCAGAGATGTTAATGTTGAGGTTTGCTTCACCGAGCGCCCGCAATTTGCATCGACGAGAAACGTCTTCTCGGACCAATGCCCGTTGACTCCCACCGTCTGTAATTCCCCTCGCATAGATGTGGGCTCCGTTACCGGCGACCCATAACCTGAATGTCTGCACCAGGACTTGCGGCTTCTCCCTTCCACTGATGCTGTCAGCAGTGAAGACATTTAATGCCTTGGAATCTTCCTCTTGGGCGTTGTCCTTTGCACTCTAACTGCAGGGGTCGCACATGGTTGCCGCGTACCTCCCTTTGCACGTGCCACACGATATACGCCGTCTGCAGTTCCGTGCTTGATGAGCTCATTTGTAGCAGCGCCAGACTAGAGCAAGTTAGTTTTTCTTTTCTTCTAAAGAACTTTCTGTGTCGCACTCTTCCATCTTCTGCGTCTGCGAGCCGCAGAAAAAGCAATCTGTAGGCGACGGCTTCGTACGATTGTGGAGTACTGCTGCTAATGGCATCGGGAATGGTATGGCAGTGGGTTCAAGAGACCGACCGCTGTTTTTTGCAGCTCGGTCTGAACCATGCCTCCTCTCTCGAATCTCGACTTCGACCTTTAAATATCCCAAAATTCCGTCTAGGTCGCCGCTTGCCGATGTTGTTGCCGATGTGCTTGGGCCACCGAAGCTTTGCCGCCGGTTTTACTCTATAGCGATGTCGCTCGGTAAAACCTTCAATTAAATCTTGTACAACATAGCCGAGTACGAAATGGCGTCGACTTCTAAACCTTTCAGCCCTCTGATGTGAATCTGAACCGTGTCAAATAAATTGCGCAGGGCGAATATGTCGCTAGATGAGTTGACAATTTACGGAGTCATAAGCTTAGCTAGGTGATCTTGTATTATAAGCTTGGTGCCGCCAAATCGTTCTTTTATAATTTTCACTACGTCGGAGTAGCAGGAGTCCCTTACTTGAATGCCAGCGATAGGCTTGGCTGCTGTTCCGATGAGAAGTGATCTCAAGTATTGAATCTTGTTTATGTTCCGCAGTTGCGCATTTTCATGGACGGTGCGGATGAACATACCCCAGAAGGGCTGCCACTCTCCGATACGCCCGTCGAATTTCAGCATCTCCAGCTTCGGTAGCTTTGCCACCAACGTTGGAGTTTCCTCGCGATGTCGTTCTCCCGCTTGAGACGTCACTGAAGCTTCCGCAACTGCCCGACTGCACTTCAGCCGGTCAATGTGGTACATCAGTGCCACTAAAGTGCTGGCCACTTGGTCTTCGTAATTCATTACGCTCTCATATACTTTGTGGGAGCCACTGGTTTCCCTCCCCCAAGAAGGCGTAAGCCGAGGACGTTCCGGGCGAAGCCGTCTGACTTCGAGCCCGGTCGCTCCGTATCGTGTCGGAGAGACTACGTCACCACGCTGACCTACTCTCTCGCACTCCTCCGCGCGTCTCCCCGATTTCGATGGAACAGCGACATCGCGCGAGGGGAGAGTCGGGCCTGCCCTCCGAGTGGACGGCCGTGTGGTCGAGGAGTCCTGGACTGGACTCCGGGCAACGGGTCGAGTCGCGGCGCGAGCATCGTCCGACCGGCGATGACTCCACGCTAGTGATTCCCCGGGCTCTGACAGTCGGCGTCCCCACAACCTGTGGACGTCCGCCTGCCGAGAGCCCCGGCCCCGAACTCCTGCGACGACGGGTAGCGGCGTGAGCTCGCCCGACCGGCGATGACTCCGCTCGCAATTACTCCTTTGGCTCTCAGGTCGGCGGGCGATGCGGGCACACTGTGTCCGCGGCGGCTCGCTTGACCGCAGTGTCTTGTTTGGGACCCCTGGTACTCAATAAACGCTGCTGATACCGGGATCACCGTTGTTGGCATGGCGTTGGCCGAACCCGGCGCGGCGACCGCCC